CCGCCAAACTCCGGGCTTAAACTATGCATGATAGCTCAATGATAGCTCCAATGGCCGGCGACGTTTTCTCATAATCAAAAGTGTATGGCTACATTTGCTGGGTCACACAAGAACCAACGACAAATCTTCTACTCAGTGAAGGATACCGCAGGCATGTTGTGGGGTTTGCGGGATGAGTACGGTTCACATTCACATCACTGTAGTTTGTACAGTCGTCTTCCTGTCCCGGCCCAATTATTCTGATAAATCCACACCAAAAATGGAAAAGCATCAGACTCGAGTTTCGTTCCTATCAGACCTCATCAGCAGTGAATATCTAATAGCTTTGCTGGGGTTTGAACTCCGGACACCCGACACGCGGGACGAATGTGCTACCCCTATTCCACCAGCGTGCGTTGCACGCATCTGAATTCTCACGTCCGAACGTGTTCACGTTTGAGCGATGTGATTGGTATGCCCGACCCATGATCGATACGACAAGCGAGCAACTGTCCTGTTTGTGACGATGGATCATCCGCTTGTCAGGACTTCCCAGTCGGGTGGCATCACAGACGCTTGAAACCCGCTGATGCATGTTTTGAGGTATACGGGATGGGTATTGTTCACATTCACATCACTCTCGTTTGAAGAGTCGTTGGAGCAGAAGAACTCGAGTTCAGTGCTTCCATCCTTTGGTTTGGATTGATCAGAATAATTGCGCTAGGACAGGAGGACTACTATTCAAACGAGAGTGATGTGAATGTGAACAATCATGCAAGCATCCGCCAGATTATAGGTCAGCACTCGGTGTGGTAGTATTAGATAACTTGGTCAGGCAGCACTTTCCTAAATCCATCTTCAACGTACTTTCGTACCTCCAAATCTGGAGCTCTTGCTGCAGTTGAGAACTGCGCATCCCTTATTTCGTTGCATATCAGGTGTCCGTTGACAGAAATCACGTCAATAATAAGCTTGCTCATCAGGCAGTTGAGCTCCGGTCTAATGAATGCTACCATTTAGTAATCAGTGCACCAGCGAAAACAGAACCTCCCCGGGCGCTCGGTCTGGCGTGCGCTGTCGGTCATTAGAATTTGGCGTACATGTGGTAACTGCGAAAACTTTGCACAGTTCGTGTTGTCTCATGGGATGTGCAGTGATCCGTCTACCCTGAAAGCTACTTTACGAGGAGTGCGCGGCGAAGAAATAAAAATCATAACGCTAGAAGTAGTCTACGATAATGAGGGGTCAAATGGAAAGTTCCAACCTAGAATTTTCTAAAATGTTCATTGGCCCGGGTCAGCGAATTATTAGTAATCCAATTATGGTTTTCCAGGGATCTAATAGATTCCGAAGATGGTCTGAAATGTTTTGACACCAGATTTAGTACATGAAACTCGCGAATGACCGCTGCAGGCGCAGAAAAAATCAGGTGAAACTGGGAGCACGTGGCCACGTTTGTCGTTTTGTCTACCTGTAGACTACTGTAGAGTCTGTCAAACGTATGCTCATATTTAAACCAATTTGCACAAAAGTGCCGATCTCAATCATCTGCACATCTTGTGTGTTTTAAGGGGTGACGTGACAGAATCCCTGTTGTCTCCCTCGTTTGTAACATTTCAATTACTGATACCACCTTACTACCATCTCATTAACACTGCTATAATTTTGGTGATATGATAGTGCGTGCCCACGTCTACGCACCACCGGGTTATAGCTGTCATTTTGATCTATTTCTGTATAGGGGTGTCATTTCCGATTTCTATATAATTCTACGATTAAGTGAAACAATCGTTTCTTTCAATGGACTTGAAGGTCACTCTGGAGGTCTAACTCTTTTCTGAACGGGATTTTATGCCTTCTATCCACACACTGATAGCTATGTGATGAAATCTCTCTAAGAAACTCTCATATGGCTCATGTTGGTAAACGCATAAAAGCTTCCCGTTATATTTTGAAGCTGTGGTTAATCTGAGACATACTTGGACTGGGCAGCTTTGATAGGTGTGGCTGCCATTGCGCATTTGATTGGGCAGCGCACCTATGCTACCTACATTCCAGAACATTGCCAAGAACAACACTATATTTGTGTCCGCACGACAGGATTGGGGGCGCTAAAGATATGAGAAGAGCTCCGAGTCTGGAATGCCCTTGTCTAAGCCCCTCGGTCAACCATGTTCCAAGCAACTTCACTTGGGTTGATTTAAGTGACTTCACAAGGCACACTGATTGCGCCACTGGCGTAACAGACCACCCTATCCGTCACTTCATGAAGCTTCCGAAATTAACTGCCGGCCTGTCCAGATTCGACGTGATTACAGTTTCACCTGCCGTTCTTCAGCAACGAAATCTCACAAATCTTCGGCTCTTCGCAAAGTGAACAGAATGATCTTCAAGTGTGCAGGCGTGGGTGAGGAAATATGCGTTCCGCGTCATCAAACCAAGCCTAAGAACGTCTAAATATCTATCGGATCATTTTCTGTTGACAACAACCATAACCAAAACGTGGCTGAAGAGATATTACGGATTGACATTTTCATGTCCAAAGGATGATGAAAATGGAGCGCTGCACATTACACCATGAGGCTGATGAAATCCTCCAATTTGGAGTTGTCTCAGCCCAACGTTGTCTCAGGACTATTTGGAGGATTCGCTTTTCGAACCGTGCTTTCCGTGTCTATAGGATACTTGTTTTAAATCTTTCTCGAGGTAGCCACTGCCCAAATCGCGGACCCATTCATTACAGGATCATCTAAGCCTGTAAGAAAGAGCCGATTGATCCACTTTTCACCCCAGAAAGTTTACCCAAGTGTTAGAGTTAACTGGTTGCCGAAAGGAGCCGATTACAAGCACTCTAAACGTTCTGTTGTCAATCAAAGTATACGACGACTGGTCTGCTTCCCCTGTTCTAAAAATCCCCATCAATAAAACCAAACAAGCAGGTGAATCTCCTTCCGGACGTCATCACCTGAATTCTAAGATTGGTCGCCAAATGATTGTCAATGGTTTGAGACATCAAATTTCTCCCCCATATGCCAAAACATGGATATCAATTGCCAACATCAATACCAATTTTGACGACCAGGACTACCAGGAATAGCAAACTGAAATTCTCTGATTGGCCAAACTGCACGAAAAATGGTACCACCTCCGAGAAAAATAGCGCGTTTAGTGTTTGTCGAAACAAAAAACGATTATATGAACTCTAGCTTTCAGTCCAGAACGCATGGGAAATAAAAACAAATACGAGGAATTTTTTGTGGACGTGGGTTCTCAATATGGACGCTAAAATGACATTCAGCTCCAGCTAGCATTCTACCAGGTTTTTGCGTATTTTTCTGTGTGGTCGCACATGATACTGGAACAAATGGAGGGTCCAATGTGCTACCCAAATTTTAGGGAAACGGTCATACGAAAGCTTTGTATCCTATACACAAAATGGACGGGATTTCGGCAGTACCCCTGGTATTCTTATGACCGACCGACTAGCATGTTCTGGATGAGCTGTTGCCAGATTTCATTTTTCGAGATGGTGAAAATGAATCAAACTAATCTTTGGTGCATGAGCTGTTTATCTTATAACAACTGCCTACTTCTGCGTTTCCGCAGGTATGCCGGAAGAACTCTTGGATAAATATAAAATCTTACCATCCTGGCGAAGATTTTGAAAGGATTTCGGAAGGCTCGCTTAGGCTTATTTTGAAATATCATCAAATTCTAGGGTAAATCCCTGGTGGGTAATGCCATCCGCCTGATAGCGGGAGTACTGTAACGCCAGGTGCTTGTCCTTCACTTTGGCCGTCACGCCTCGAAATCGACAAATACCTCAATGGGAGGTCCATCTGGCAACCCACAATGTGATGGGCTTGTTCGGAGACTGCAAAATGACGTACTTGGGCAAGAAAACTCGACCTGGATTGAAGTGTTCCCCATAGAACTTCTTGGCACACCAGTAAAACTGGCGGGTGTTGAAAAATCTTAGTAACTAAGGTTAAATCTCAAGGTTTTATCCTGCCCGTCCTTCTTGACAATTTATCTGTTTGTTACTCTTAACTGTATTCCGCTTTGATTAACTCACGACAGGTAGTCATCGCCATCATCGGTCCCACTGTGATGTTAGACTTTCGTGTTGTACTCGTTTTGGATTTCTGCTTACCTTTAGACACACTGACGGACGTATTGGAGAACAAGCCGCGGCCGGCGAAATTTCCGTTTAATAGAACACTGGTGGTCTGTGCCAATCACCTTCAGCTAGCTATACGGCATTTGGGCATTTCTATTTCCATTTATCATGCGCTCCACTTCCATATGACACAATTACTAGGTCAGAAGCAGAACTTCATCAGCAGCTCCGGTCGGCAGTTTCTTCAGTTCAAGGGCGATCTCTTAAGGGGCCCAGCATCCCAGTGTGCTCTTAGCTGCATAACTCTTGAGAGTAGAATAAAACCTTTCGCCAAAATATTGCAGTTTGTTGCGTATGTGCTCAACTCGAAAACCACCCTAATCTACGTTCATATTTTTGGAGCTCACCTAATTCCATTGTCCACTGAAACTGCCATATCTCCGGCGGAAAACGTCTGGTGGAATACTTCTCTAATGTCGCTGATACCCTGGAATGTCCAGATAGGGCTCAAAAGATTGGGCTCGTACTCTGAACACAATTGCCTGCCTGTTTCAGTTCAACAGGGACACACCGTAGCTTCCGGAAATTAAATTTCATTGTGCGAATACTGCGCTGAGAAGACTTGCGATAGTTGAGAAGGATCTAACGGATAAGGGATCTTGCGTGCATCACCCAGTAAAAATCCCTTTCCAGACTGGCTAAAAATACAAGGTAGTAACTATGTAACCCACTGCAGCTATCATTTTAGCTAGCTGGTGGCCCAACTTGGACGTATTGCTTGGCGAAGGCAAGTTCGGAGAATCTGTTCCGTCATGTACAGACAAGAGAGCGCGCATTTCAAGCATCAAGGTCGAGTGCGTCGTGGCGCGTTATATGATCTCCCGAGCATTTCGAGTTTCCGATGTCCTTTTGCACTTTAATTGTTCGGGTTCCTCCGTCGACCAACGCCTACGTGTTGAAATTGGAAAAAGATTTATGTGTCTCAGACCTGTGCTGCGAAATTCGGCTCCAAATACCAGAGGCTAAAGTCAACAATCGTAAATACTGACAATTGATTCTGTTACTTAGTGCTTAGCCCTAGATTATGGAATTTTCGTTCCTGATCCTGATCCGAAGCATTCTTCCTGGCTGGACAACTCACGGATGTTGTCATATTATCACTTCCGTGATAATGTTAGTTTGTTTTTTAAATTTTCGCATTTGTTAGTTCGAGGTTGAATACCGGAATAAATTGCGCCTTTTGGTAATACAGACGATGGATGGTACCCGGAAGGTACTGCAGGTGGATGATAGCAAAACGGTGGCAGAGCTCATGGACCGAATATGTTCGAAAATGGGTGGGTTTTCGTTTCCCGGTTTTGGAACTACGAATTATGCTTGCTTCCCTTCTTTGCATTGCATACTCTGATGTATTCGTGCACTAATTCTTGTGTATACATATTGGCTCGCAAACTGTCATACGGCGCGCCGCTTGAGTACTGATGGTCTTAGCTGTTGTGTGTGTATAAGATTGCCAAGTGTGCTCCGCACCCTCTTCCTTTTTTCCCCTGGGCTACATATTTTTTAGTAATGGTTCCCTGATAACTCGAACATTCGGATTTGCACGGGCGAAATGACCTTCCTTATCAGGAAGAGAGAAATGATGGTATGAAGCATTTTCCACATGGCCTGTCGGGCATAAGTGGTACGACAACCATGTGTCCCAGTTCAGGTTGTGGTGGAGCAGATATGATGATGTTATACTGGGCGCTCTGGGCATCGTGCTAAGTTTCACCATGCATCACCGTTTGTTGACTCACTACTTCATGACTCCACCTGAGAAGCCTTTCCGTTCGCACAGTGCGTTTACACCAGTGGATATCGCGGGTGGTCCTAGATAGTCTGTGCGCACGCGTTGTACCGTTTGACCTGATAACATCAAGCTTTGGGGCATGTGCCGAAGAGCTTTGTGTTAGGAATGCGTAATTAACTAGAATATTCCGGATCCCTGCAGCATACCTCCTTGAGCTTTGTTGTGACTGTCAGCACATCTGCTGTGATCCGTTGAGGTCAGTTCCGAAACCCCATCCGCTAGGGTAGCCCGAGTTTCGAGTCTCATAAAAGCATGGGGCGTGTGGAGGTCTTAAGCACACGGCTTTTGGACAAAAAACAGATTTTGGCACAAATGACAAGTTAGTGAGAGCTTCATGGATCCTGATAACTCACTGAAAAGGTTCATGTTTCAGACTCCTGTTGCTGATCAGACCTCAACCTCAAAATCACCGGAGCTAAAGGTCCACGCAGACGGTCAACCAAACGTCGCCTCGACGCACAGTCCATCGCTGCCTGCTCACTGCGGACTGCTTTTGTGAAGTACTTCTGAAACATCCAGAGTCATCTGACCACATGATATATTCCAACTGGGCCGCAGCCACGGACACATCGTGTCACCATCATTCACTGATGCTGCGGTCAGTAACCGACTGACTCTTGGTTTACAACACATTTGTGGATTGAAACCACGCACTCGTTCTGAGTCGCTTGTCTCTTCGTTCCTCGATGCCACATAAGGTGTGGAAACATCGCTTGGCAACTGTGAGACTGACAGATTCCGGTGTTAGATGAAATTACCGGAATCGTCGTCTGGAGTCTCTTCCAACTTATCCACCGTCAAATGTGAATTAACGCTTGGACAAGATCGTCACCTCGTTGTACTGCACTGCGAGTTTGACTTGTTGCACGGCGCTACCAGGTCTGTTGAAGCACCTGATATTAGACAGAACAGCGCCACTGCTTGATTCTCAGGGACATATTCTAGCCGGTCCTGAACACAATTTGGCCAGACAAATCGTCAGAAGCCGAGTGAATATGAGGGGCACACCGACCGTGATGCCTGGTGAACAAGGAAGGCTAAAAAATTGAATGTGTCCGGAAATCCGGGAATACTCGAAGATTATTTCAGTTGGTCCGTTGAACAGTCACGGACAACTGCCTATGAACGAAACGAAGGGACTAAGTGGTCGGGACCATTTTGAACAAAAAATGAGCATCGACAGCTGCACCGAGCACTCGTTCTCGTGGGCACCTACCACTCATTTGGATCTTGGAACTGCAGTAGAACCCCAAATGAAACTCCAGATGGCCTCGGAGGCTCAGATACATATCCCCCCAAGCGTCACCAAGCTTCTGGTCTGAATTACCTTATGCCTGCCTTGTTCAAGGATGGGGATGAAGTCCTCACTCAGCGCTTGTCCGTTCTGTTCGCTTGCATCCTGGCAGAGGAGGCTGTTCCAGGCAACCGGACAATCGGTGATATGGCCTGTTTTCAAAAAAGCCCCTGTAGTTAGTGTGGCAATCTTAGGTTGGTCAGGTTGACCCCGGTCGTAAAGAAACTCAGTGTCACTTTTCCTTCGTTGCCTTATGGTGGCTGACAAAACTAACTCGAGAACGGCAAGAAAGGTTCCAGCTTTGCCAGATTTATGCTGATCAAAACTTCACACCCAGTCAGGTGCTGGAACATCACCCGACGTATAAACGTCGGTTTCCTGAGATTCCTGAATTTCCGTAGCGCATATGACCCAGTTTACTGGCCAGTTTACATGCTTACCTACAGAGAAGTGTCCCGGAAATCTGTGAACCCAATAAGTTCTTGTATTTTTGGACTTACAGGCGTAGGAGAATATCCGGGTAGCTCACCAGAAGCCGTACCCAAATGGGTGTCCGTCAAGGGTACTCACCCTTCTCATTCCTACATAATTTTGTGATGGACGAGATATTGAGGTGAACAATGAAAGTCTTCAATATGTTGGCAGAAACTTTGTTCATCTGGAATATACAGACGACGTCGATCTTGTGTTCGAAGAGGAGGAAAAAGCAGGTGTATTTTTGTAACTAACCAAATTGATCCAACCCTTTGGCCACATTTTTGAACAGTGCAGTGTTTCGCATGTGGTGCGGCGCCACGAGGATGGTGGTGTTGCTTGGATCTCAAAGAACTATTCCCGCCTCTGCCGGACTTCGAGTGGAACTCAGCGTGTGGCTAGGGGCAGAAGGCCAAAGTAATGAAAAGGCATATAATACAGAGAACGAGGTTGATCCACGCGACTAGTCCCAGAAAACTGGTACATGTGACTTCGTCACGCGCTCAGTGGCACGTGTGCGTCCGAGCCATTGTCTTAAACGTATAGCTTTCCTGATGTACCCGCCTGGTGTACCCACCCCTGTATTCACCGATAAGAGTTATTTCCTTCAATGCTTATCCATCCATTCCTCCATCAAAAACCATCAGCCAGCGGAGCTGTGGCAGCCAGAATCAGCCAGAACCGGTTTACTGCTGACACTGCTTCTACCGGGTTCTGAAACTGAAGCCACTGATCACCATCATTCATGTCCACCACGGGGTTATCTGGGTAGTCATCGCTGTTTGCTGAAAAATTGATCTGAACTGCAGAGTAATGGTTGTCGGGCTTTTCCTGAAAGAATCTTGCCGGAACCAACTATTCAGTGCTTCACCCACATGGCTGCAGGGAACTTGTCTGGCCGGTTGGTGCAGGAAGTAAGTCATGGCTGTGCAACCCTCGGTGCTGTCACTCAAGCAGGTGCGTTTAGGGTCTCATTGGGCTCATGACAAGGTTCACTTGTTTCTCGTTTCTTTTTATGATAATTCATTGGCAGTAATGGTCAACTGTTTGATGATGGAAGTGTGCGTATTTTAGGTACGACTTTTTCTACCCCATCGTTTGAGGGGATAGGGCAGCACTGCCGTACCCACGAATATAAAACTCCTGATCACCAGGGGAAAACGCCCCTCCTATCGCGGCGAACAATAAGAGTGCCATCAGATCGCAGTATGGGGACTTGCTATTCTTCGTTTGACTGCTCCCGACTGACCACATTGGTTCTTAAGGAACCGAATTCCAGCGGATATAACCCGCAGGATCATTACAGCACCGAATTCCGAGCATCACAACAAAGTGGAAGCTGTCAGAACGACCACCGGAGGAAAAAGCCGGCCACGGATCTTCCCTTAGCAACTTGAGAACGTGGGTGCTTACCTATGCACTTCGGCAAGTAGCGACTGAAACTGCGTCCTACCTGATAGAAAATCTTATGAGATTTCTGGACAGATTTGGGGTCTTGGTGGGCCAAACATATTCCCGGGTTGACACCGGTGTCGGGGTCGCGAGACTTCCGAAAAATCTAACTTGGCATCTTCTATCGAAGAAACTCTCCATCATGGAAACCTCATACGAAAGAAAAGTTCAATTCCTAAACAACCTAGACAGGGTGATTGAACGCTGGGTAGAGAGGTTTATTTAGCATCATACACTTCGAGGAAGTTCTGTAACTCAGCCCGATACCAGTAAGTCTGGATCTTCCCATCCTAAGTTGAAGTCGTTAAAGGGATTGCAACTGAAGCTATCATATTCAGAGACAACAATATAATTGTTGACACCGATACTTCACCAGCTTACAACAACAAAGTTTGTCTAGTTATATTTAAAGCCTTAAGGTGAGAAAGCGAAAGGCGGAATAGGAAAGGACCCTAGTGCCAAATCGCCTGAAGCATTCAATGGTGCCTACACCTCCAAATGCTCAATTACACAATCCGAAAAGAAACTGACAGCTCGGACACCACTCAGGTCGATTGGCCGTCATTTCTCGCATCACATCTAGCCAAACACAACCAAGCCCCATCCTGGAACGTGAAGCGCACCAGCAACAACCGCGTTCACTGTAATCTCTTTCAAGCCTTTCTACCACGCCACAACTTGTCCACCTGGTTTGTAGAATTTTGTGGATGCGCGGTAGGCGATGAGTTTAAATCCGCAACATATGACTGGGTCACCCAAAATGAAGGTTCTGGATATTTTCTGTCACCAATACACCCGCTCCAGAACCAAGCGCGCGTCCCTTAATTGGTTTATTGCAAATCTGAAGATGCCATCGGATGCCATCAGCAATCCTGTAGTGGGTGATCAAAAGTCCGAAGACGCCCAAGGTCATCCACCCACAGATGCCATGTTGCAACCAGACAACACCACAACTGTTACTGTATCCTTGAACACATAACCCTTGAGACACAGCAGATGGCGCGGTAAACGCGATTCAAACCTTCAAGATTCGCGTACTGACCACTTCCGTCGGAGCTTTTCCAACTGCCGAGGTACATAAAATTCTCCACAATCTCCGTTGTTTCTTCTTGAATTGCAAGGAGCGTGTTCAGGACTTCACATTCTAAAGCATAACTTTACAATTGAAAGGCACGTGCCAAAAGATAATATGCTGTTGGTGATTTTATCCAATGGCGCTTGTGCTGTATGCATGTTTTCATACTTTAAGCATCCAGATCGGCAAGGTTTTAACCAGTAACGATCTAATCCGGGATTTTTAAGACCCTTCAGTGTTCGATTTTGAACAGAAATGAAGAGAGTGAAGATCCCTAATGGACACTACTTCTTTCGGGAAAGCTTTTAGATATGGTTACACACTCAAAAACCTAATAATGAATTTATAGAGAACCTTTGGTCGTTCTTTCCTGAGTAGACGTGATAAAAGACACGGATCAGTCGACAGAATCTGATGTATCCTTGGGGGCTGCTAAGCACTGAATGGTGTATGAAGGTGTGGCGCATCCGCTGCCCGACCGAAATCCCATTTGATGCCCACGGGTTAAGGTTTTGTGTGCCACATTGAGGTTCGAAGTATCAGTAGCACAGTCTCGTTACGTCGAGAGTCAAGGTGACATCTCTAGTTACTACACTGTGATGTTTAATTATGTCGTGGTTTGTTTGGATGTCAGCCGCTCTTAGTGTTTCAGACGATCTGGCGACATCTGTCACTTTGAATGAGTTCTGCGCCCCTCAATCACAAATTGCTGTTATGTGACTGGAACAACCCTGTACCACAATCCAGTAATGACAGCAACATCTTCGAATAAGTTGTTCTATCAATAAGGTTCTATCACTAACGGCGGTGGGGCCATTAGTTGAACAACGAAAAACGTTGGATGCATATGCAATCTTAACCGACTGTGGCACCGTCTCGACGTAAGTTTTCCTTTGAAGGGCCTCATATGTAGCTCTCCTTCGCGGTTTGTTTTACTTACCTGCGGATAAATAGTCTTTGCTACCGGGAGATATCTAGTGCCCATCTACCTGGATCATCGGTAGGACATAATGTTCCACTCCAGGTCTTTGATTTGAGTCTCCTGTCTTCAAATCAAAACATAATTACCACATGAATAACCGATATGCTATTAAAAGCCGATTCGCATTCTGCGATGTTTACAAGTGAGGAATGGGACTGTAGCACACACTGTCCTCTGAATCTTCTGCGTCCTCTTCTTAACGAAGACCCTGATTTCCGGCGATATTGATGCAATATATTTCGAATTTTCCCATTATCTGTTGTCTTACACATCCCTTTCGCCCATCGCTTTTCGTCCACTTTCCATCCCTTGTTGGTGGCATTTTTACTTTTCAAGGTCTTTCTGCATATGTTATGTGGCCTTCTACAACACGCACTTTGCGTATCGCTTGACAAATGCCACTTTGCACTCGAACTGTTCGCTCTTCCGTGCGATAATCTCGAGTCCACCTTCCAATCGGGTTAATCCTGCGAAATAAGTACCACCGACAGCTTTCAAGTCTGATTATTTCGCTTTCTTCTTCAACACTAGTACAGAAACACTAGTCAGCCAAGTTGTGAATTATAGTCGTTTCTAAACATTAGCCGTTTGTTCAGAATAGTGTCTTTCTCCGNGAACTGTTCGCTCTTCCGTGCGATAATCTCGAGTCCACCTTCCAATCGGGTTAATCCTGCGAAATAAGTACCATCGACAGCTTTCAAGTCTGATTATTTCGCTTTCTTCTTCAACACTAGTACAGAAACACTAGTCAGCCAAGTTGTGAATTATAGTCGTTTCTAAACATTAGCCGTTTGTTCAGAATAGTGTCTTTCTCCGCCCACACTGTACACCGTGATGGCTGCACCTCACAAACCTTGAATTCTATTCTTAGTATACACCCCTTGCTATGCTCACTACCTCATCTGCGCCCATGGGCTCCTATGACGAACGCTCCATCACCTGCTACGATCCTGTTTGGCCCACGCATTCTCCTCCCCCCCTTTGACGGAGTTTCTGCCTTGTGTTTCGCCAACCGGTCAGATATGTACACATACCCATCCCAAACGTTCCCTCTAGTTTCATTGTCAATTTTGTGCACTACTTGATAGTTAATTCCGATTTATTCCTGTCCGATGAGTTGTTAATCTATACAAACACGCGTTTCTTAGTTCATGAAAAATCGCTCATATCGGCCTCCGCTAGGACACGTCACTCCTTCCAACCGTTTGGATCACATTCTTATCCGAAATTCTCCTAAGGCCACAATTGTTAGGGTATAAGTTGCGTTTATGGGCCACGAGATTCGCTGGATATTGCCCTTGTTGCAGCTTAACGAGTCAGTTCTAATTTTAGCTCTCTCATGTCTCCACCAGTTTCCGAGCGAATCAGCTTTTTCTCACGGTCCCGAAAACATTTCACACTAGCTATTCTTTCTTTGTACAAAGTCCAAATCCACCCAGTCTATGGTTTTGTTTTCATTGAAATGTAGATCCCTCTTACTTTTCTTCAATCGATTAAGTTAACAGATGATTGTTTACTCAGAACCGACGACCTCAAATTTTTATCCCGTCTCCACCACCCCGAAGGTTGTTCTTTGATAACGTCTCCTGTACAGTGGTTCTCAGTTTTTAGTGCAGACCGTCTTCATTTGCAGGATTAAATCTCCATAGGTCTTCTAAGGTGCCTTTCTAGCTCTAATGTAGTGTTCTTCAGGCTCTGTTTCAAGCTCTTATTTGCTCAAATACATAGATCTGTTTGATTTTTTCGTTCAGGTATCACCAATCATGAAGAGTATTCACTCGTCCGACCAATGACTGAGGAAGAAAGAATGCGTACACTAACTCTGCGTAAACATAAAGGTGGTGCTCGGGACCAGGAAAAATTGGAGAAAATGAAACAGAAGTTGCACACGGATGATGAGCGTAGGTTTCTGCCCTTCCATGCAAGTTGCATTTCCCCACATGTCCGCAATTACTCTCAACGTCCGTGACATTGTATTAGCCAATATATNCCTTGCTAGCTGTTTTGTTTTGGTCTATGTCACATATTTCCTGCTGGTGGATGGGTGTTATACTTGCTGTGCTAATCTGCTAAGTTTCGCAAATGGATCATTAACTGTGCGGCAGAATCACGCAATGGCTGTAGTCTAACAGAATCTTTTTGATGACGAGCCTCTGCGGGGTGTGAAAATTGTTATCCTTCTTACCGTAGGCATACGCCACTGTCAAAATGTGTTGTACTGTCTCGATTCAGTAAATGCTCGTTGTTGACATGGTTCTTGTCACTCGGGGAAATTTTTCACGTTTCTGTTACATGGCTCTGGCTCGGCAGGTCTTGGCCACCAGCCGACACTCATCTAAAGCCCACAGGTGAAGTAGAACCTTGGACGGTGAACGTGGAACCACCTACGGCCTCGGAGGTTTACGACTGCATATGTTCTCTCAAGCGCCACCGAGCTCCCGGTCCGGATGACCTTCCACCTGCACTGTTCAAAGACGGGGGTGAAGTCCTCAGTCAGCGCCTGTCCGACCTGTTTGCTTGTATTTGGGAAAAGGAGTCTGTCCCAGACAACTGGGGAGAATCGGTGATAGTGCCCATTTTCAAAAAAGGGGCGCGTAGTGAGTGTGGCAACCACAGGGGGATCAGCTTGACCCCGGTTGCAACGAGACTGTTGGCGTCAAGTGTGCTTCGTCGCCTTATGGTGGCTCGTGAGATGCTGACTCGAGAGCAGCAAGCGGGATTCCGGCCTGGTAGGGGTTGTGTTGACCAAATCTTCACACTGCGTCAGGTGCTAGAACAACGCCATACGTATAAGCGACCCACAATTCTAGTATTCCTGGATTTCCGAGGCGCATTCGACTCGGTTGATCGGTCTGTTCTTATCGAGACGCTTGCCCACCAAGGAATGCCCCGGAAGTTTGTAAACATAATACGTTCTTTGTATTCTCAGACTTCCGGACGTGTGAGAGTGTACGGAGAGCTCTCCAAAAGCTTCCGCACACAAAGCAGTGTCC